AGCGTTGATCTGGGAATAAATCTACTAGCCCTAAGGTATTGACCAAAAGCCAATGGCTTTTACTGTCGATCTAGTGACAGCTTCCGAATCCAGTTTAGAGTAATGTTCTAACCTGTTCCATGGCACTTATCGATTAGCCATTTTTCGCTTCTTTCTAGATTAAGTGCTGATCGATAAGTCTAATTCTAACCCAGAATGTTTTTTCCCTTTAGCGGATTTCTGTGTATTAGCCCATCGTATTATTGTTTTAATTTTTTATGACACTAACTGTGTCATACCGTCGCCAGTATTGACATTTTATTTTGTACCGTACCTATTACCTAGGATCTAATTTTATTTTGGTATATTATATTTATTTCAAATATATTTTTGTTTAACCCTAGTGACTTGTTTGGGTCTATTTGACCAAAAAAAAATTATTACGCGTCGTAACGTTTTGATGTTTTATGACTTTATTACCTAAAACGAGGTCTTTCAATTGCATACAAGAATTAAAAATTACCTTTCTGTTTTTTTTGAAAAAAATAAACTGTTACCTATAGTACTTTCGGATCAATATGGCCCACGCATTTAAACCAATAAAAATTACCTGTGTAGTTATGTTTAGTTGGCACTATTTTATATATTTTCTAACAGTTTGTCAGTCAGGTACGTTGATAAAGAGAAACAAGTTTCTGAAAACTAGAACTTGTGAAAAATGTGTAGTATAGCTGGACGATATCGTTAAGAAGGGCATGTCACTTCAAAAAGAAGTAGGGGTGATAGACAAGTGGTAGGCTGGTAGGACACTGATATGCCAAGCGCATTCATTTGCATTTCAAGTTTCAGTCTGTGTTTACATGCTGATAATGTTGTATTAAAAAATGCTAACCGAAAATGAGGTTCGTGAGCTCGCGAACGTGTCAGAGAGTAATGAGTGCATATCATAAACAGAAAACAATACAAATAAGGACGCATTCTTTTCTGACAGAGTTACAAACCAAATTATATAAATATGACCAACATGGAAGTACAGCGTGTTTTTGGAACCAATTGGGAAGACTTGGATAAGTTTAGTTAACAAGCATACATTGGACTTTTATTGTTAGCTTGTGTTTTTAAGTCCCATGGCAAATCAACTAAAAGTTTGTCGAATGAAGAAACGGGTCGTAGTGTATTTCGAGCAACAATGTCCCCGGACGTATTACAAAAAATTTCGAAATTAATACGTTTTCATAACAAGACTACTAGTCAGGATAGGAGACGTACTAACAAACTTGCTGCAATACGTGAAATTTGGGAAAAATGGGTAGAAAATCTACCAAAATTTTTAACCCTAATGAAAATGTTACCTTTATAGGCCGTTAGAGGCCGCTGTCCCTTCAAACAGTATATTTCAAGAAAACCAGCAAAATATGGCATAAAAATTTGGGCTTTATGTGACAATAATACTTCATATGGTTTAAAATTGCAAATCTATACAGGAAAGGAAGCAAGTGTCAGGAAATGCGTGGGGTTTACGACTTGTGTATTGATTTGAAAGGCCACAATATTACTTGTGATAACTTTTTTACATTAAACAATTTAGGACAACTTTTTCTAAAAAGAAAAATACAATGCTGGGGACTATAAGAAAAAATAAGCCAGAGCTTCCTAAGTGCAATTAAAGAAGTTATTACTTCGTCTTTTTATTTTACTTCATGTTTTTATTATAAATAAACATTGGTATTTCGGTAATTAATAATAATATTAATAATAAACCTAGATAAGTACCTTGACCTTCGCCTGACAAACTGTTATTTTAACCATAAATGTTATCTTACTAAACATTGACTTAGTGTATTGCACACTAATACATGCATGAAGATAATCAGCTGACAATCACAGGAAGTATTTTTTCTAACCAATTAATAATGTAACATAGTAAACGCCAATTAAACTAACTTACCTACTAATGTCAAATTAACCTGGTAATTTCTTGTCGGCGAATTGACAAAATCTACCCGGCATCTAAAGACTCCTTGGTCGTGCATATTTACATTTTGTATTCTAAGTCGAGCTTTCGAGGGTTCATCCTCAGTTATGAAATAACTTCGCGAACCCCAAGTCATCGCTCATAGCCAAATGAGACGCTTTATCGATGGGACCATCTCTTGCGTCCAAACTGAAAAAAAAAAAATAAGTTTTTAATAATATTTATTAATTTTCATTGGGTAATAAATTTAATAAAGTCACATAAATACTACAGTGAAAATGCAACGCATTTATTGAATTATCGTAGAAGCTTGTTAATATAGTTCAAAAATAAAAATCCAAAATATCCAGACAATAAAGCATTTAGTTTATTAATTCTATCTTGCTACCGTAGAAATATAAACAACTTATAATAGAAAATCTTCCAAACCAGGATCTTTGTCGTCTATCAGGACCGCTTTTTCCTTCGATTTTATCTTTCATAACCAGTTGAAACAACTAGTTCTTATTATTTCTCAGTATGTGCCCCAAATATGGTGTCTATCACCTTTTAATGGTTGTCAAAAGTTGTTTGTCTCTTCCCAATCTGTGCAACAGCATTTCGTTCGTAATATGATCGGTCCATGGTATCTTCAAAATTCTCCTAAAAGCCACATCTCAAAAGCTTCCAGTTTTCTTACCAAGTCAACACTAACAATTCAGGCTTTGACACCATAAAGAAGAATATAACATTTTACCATCCGATATCGGATTTGCAGATTGAGTCTTTGGTTACTCAGGAATTTTCTTTATTTCAAAAAGACTGCTCTTGATTGCTCTATTCTTAAGCGAAATTTTGATTTCAGATTTAGATTTTCCGTAATCCAGACTTCTAAGTATTTCATTTTGCCCACTTGCTCAATATCTTCATTTTTAATTTGAATTCTTGTAATAACTTTGCCGCTCTTACTGATAACCACGGTTTTTGTTTTGTTTATATTTATTGTTAAACCAAACTGTTCCCCTATATCACAAATTGTGTTTAGTAACGTCTGCAGGTCTGTCTCACTTTGAGCGATAAAGACTGTATCTTCAGCAAAAAGCCACATCTCAAAAGCTTTCAGTTTTCTTAATAAGTCAACACTGACAGTCTAAGCTTTGACACCATAAAGAAGAGTAGAGTCGATATAACATTTTACCATCCGATATCGGAGTTGCAGACTGAATCTTTGGTTACTCAGAAATTTACTCATCTTCAAAAAGGTGGCTCTTGATTGCTCTATTGTTAAGCGAATTTCTGATTTTGGATTCAGACCTTCCGTAATCCAGACTCTTAAGTATTTTATTTTGTACAATTGCTCAATATTTTCATTTTTTTATCTGGATCCTTGTAATGACTTTGCCTCTCTTACTGATAACCATAGTTTTTGTTTTCTTTATGTTCACTGTGAAACCAAACTATTCCCCAATATCACAAATTGTGTTTAATAACGTCTGCAGGTCTGTCCCAGTATAACAAATTGGATAACATCCATAACGAATGCTATTCTTCTATACTTATTTGTTGTGCATCTGTGCTATTTCTATCTAATTATCACAGCCTCTTGGTTCAAATAGAGATTTCTCACTATGTTAATGTCATTTTTGTCGAGTTCTTTTCTCTTAAGATATTCCATGAGAATGTTATGTTTACCTTTGTCGAAATCTTTCTTATAGTCTATAAACGCAACGAAAAGATCTTTTTTGTTGTTCTCGACCTTTTTAGGCAAGAGTTGTGAAACTATACATAGTCTGAAAACTATACAAACTTCCACTGTTCCGAAGCTGTTATGAAAGCCAAACTATCTATTACTCATATCCGCTTAGTACTTTCTAAATATTCTTGCATGTATAATCTTTAAAAATGTTTTTAATAAGTGTGACATTACGCTGACTAATCTATAGTCAATACAGTGTTTGGGGTTCTTGAATTTTGGTAGCGGAACAAAGGTCGATATCAGCCATTCTGTAGTTATCTCACCAGATTTGTATATGTTACAAGCAATGTCCGAAATTGAACAATCCTAGCATTGTACGAATAATCTTATCCACTTCTAGCATTGTACCCTTTTCTGTACAATCTCCGTAATAGACATAATTGGCGGACTGTATTGGTTTGAATTTCAAGAAGTAGCCATGCATCAAAGTTTGGGAGAATATGACATATATCGATTCATATCGATTTTTACTAACATTATCACTCTATTGTGGAACAATTTTTTTCTTATTATTTATATTTTAGTTTGACTTAGCATTTGACTAAGCATTATGACTTAGCGACATCACATTGTCGATTTGAAAAAGAACAACTCTATAATATATAAATATAAAAGATCAAACTGTTCGATTTTTTATTTGGTGTGCGTTTCGATAATCATTTTTAATTTTGGTTATTTCGGACATTGTACAGTTTGGGGGTACAATGCTAGAGGTGGACAATAATTTCCGTACAATGCTAGGATTGTCCAATTTCGGGCTTTGCTCGTAACATTTTTTGCTCGTAATATTTTTAAAGAATATAGTCAGTGCACTTAAATTTTCTTCATCTATTAGTTTATATGTTCGATATAAACTTTATCCGGCTTAGGGGCTTTGCCAGATTTTGAGTCGTTTACAGCATATTGGACTTTAGATGTTATTATAATTGGTGCTTTCTCTTTCTCAATTTGTGTTGGTTCCGTTCTTGTGTTAATGAAAAGATCTTTAATATATTTAGTCCATACTTGTTTTATTTTAATTGGGTTATTAATAGGTTTATTGTTTTTGTTAATTTATTCTTCTTCTTAGGGTACCTGTCCGTTCCGAACGTTGGCGATCATTCTGGCTATGATGATTTTGTTGGTTGCTATACGAAATAGCTGTGTTGACGTCTTTTTATACCATGCTCTTAGGTTAGCCAGCCAGGACATTCTTCTTCGTCCTGACTCTTGAACGCCTGAAGTTTTAATAGAGTTTCCGCCTTCAATGTCCACGTTTCTACCCCATACAGAAGCACTGAGTATACGTAACATTTAAGGAGCCTTATTTTTGTTTTCAGGGTGAGGTCATGGCTTTTGAACACAGAGCTCATAGCCAAGAATGCACTTTTGGCCTTTCCGATGCGACATTTATTCTCTTGGGTATTGTCCCACGACTCATTGATTATATTTCCCTAGTAATTGTATTGTAAGACACGTTCAATTCTCATTTGGTTCACATACAGATTTGCTCCAGTTATGTTTTGCTTGCTGATGATCATGAGTTTGGTTTTGCTGGTGTTTATATCCAGTCCATAGGTTCTACTTGTTTCTGTTATTTTGTTCATTAAGTTTTGCAGCCCTTCTATGGTATTGGAAAACACTATTGTTTCATCTGCGTACCGCAGGTTATTAAGCTTGACTCCATTTATTAAGATGCCTTCATCAATATCTTTTAGGGCCTCTTCAAAAATGTGCTCCGAGTACAGATTGAATATCAGTGGTGAAATTATGCACCCCTGTCTCACTCCTCTTAAGATTTTGACCTGTTCTGTATATTCTCCATCTATTCGGAGTACCGCTGATTGATTCCAATACAGTTAATTTATTAGTTAGGTGTATTTGTTCGTGAATTTCCAGACAATTCTTTCAGTTTTTTATGTAAATTATAATGATCATGCTTTTTCTGCAATTCTTACTTTTATTTTGTTTTTTATTAATTTATGTTTTTCTCTGTACTTATTTGGGATTCTGTTTCTATATTTTCTTCCTTGTTTCATGATTTTCAGTATTTCTTCAAGAAATACTGAAAGTATTTTTTTAGTTTCTTTTTGTGTTTTATAACAGAATCTTTGATTTTCCTTCACATAATGTTCACATTCTCAGTGTTTTTTTATTTCTGATGATAATTTATTTATTTCTTGATTGATAAAAAAAGAAGGAAAACTTCAACCAGTTCAAAATTTATGTAATTGGTAATCCAGAATAGGCAACAAGTAATACTTTGTGATGAATATAACTGGTTGCTGCCAATAAAAAAAATCTTTTCAACCATTAATTGGCCTCTATTGGCCACCTTATAAGCAGCAGCAACTAAATTAATTTCTAGACCGGTATTCTCAAATAAAAAAGAACAAGTAATCCTGTTCAACAAAATTGATAATTTAAAACATTTTAACTACCTAAAATAAATGGGCGACATCAATAGAAAAACTTTTCACTTCGCCTTAGGAATATCAAACAACAGAATTTTAATTTATCTAAATAAGGTAAAATTAGTTTATAAACTAATAGAGAAAAACTCCATAAAAGTAAACAACTTAGATTTTTTCATAAGCAGACTGGTATCACCTGTCAAAAGAATCATACTATTTAAATCTGCCCATCCATAGCTCACTTATTTATAGAAACTGGTCTAAAAGTCATCGGTCTACAACTTACATTTATCATTTTATTTCTAAATGCTGGTTTACTATACCATAGTAATAGTACATTTTTTACCGGGTAGGAAAAGCTTAACATTCCTGGACGACTGTGAAGATTGCTAAGTCGAGGCGCAAGCCGAGACTTGGCAACACAGAGTCCAGGAATGTGGCTTTTCCTACGAGGTAAACATACTATTTTTCCGCAAATCGTTTAAAATTCGACAGATATTAATTGATTTAAAAAAAAACGCGATAATTTTATTCCCAAATAAATGGTGCTTTGAAGTTCCTAATAAAATTACTTGGGTTACTATGGAAACTTATTGAGGTTGAATTGTCAAACTTCTATCATTTATATAGAACACTAACAACTGTACGGAAATATCATTTTCTTACAGTAAGGAAATGACATTTCCTTACAGTAAGGAAGTCCTGACTTTTTCTTCAAGAAATTTTGACAGGAATGTCAAAATTTCCTGGCGATTTGCGGAAAAGTAATTTTCTTTTACGTAAACTTTAAATATTCAAAATAATTCTTCTTTAAGATTTAGACAAACTGCTGGTTTTAATACATCTCGGTTTATTGATAACTTTGCATTCCTATTTTGTAACAGTTCCGATTCAATATCAGAACTGTCATCACTACACTTTTTAACCATA